TCTTTGGAGGTTTGTAGGCGTTAGAGTGGGCGTACCAAAATTTTTTTTTTTTGGGTCAATCGATAAGTATTGACAAGACTAGTACATTTCAGTTAAAATTTTCTATCTAGCATCAAAACTGTAGGAGTTACAGTTTTGGGCGGTTTGTGGGCGTTAGAGTGGGCGTGGCAGTCTACTGAAACAAACTGCGTAAGAAGCTCAGGAATCTGCACGCCAAATCTCAATAGCCTAGCCCTCATAGTTTCCGAGATATCAGCGTTCATCCGGACAGACGGACAGACGGACAGACGGATCGACTCGGCTAGTGATCCTGATCAAGAATATATATACTTTATGGGGTCGGAAACGCTTCCTTCTGCCTGTTACATACTTTCCGACGAATCTAGTATACCCTTTTACTCTACGAGTAACGGGTATAAAAAGGTTGCCGCTAGGCAGAAGAGTGGAACACACCTTAGCGTTGTAAGCTATTGTGGTCGCGGTTCATTCAGGCAACAAACTTGCGCTGAATGAAAAGCTAAGCAATCTTAATTTGAAGTACCAACTCTCTAGCTCTTGTGTTTTCCTAGATCACAGCGTTCACACAGCCATATATAGTTTATGGGGTCACAATACAAACACAAACACAATACACGGGTAAATAAATAGAAACGGGTAAAACATGGAAGATCGCTATAACCAAGTGCCTCAACTATAAGATATCCGTGACCTGCTATAGAAAGCGCAAATGAGATGCAGATCAAGCAGTAAAAACTACTTTTCTCGAGATTGCAGCACGTTATCTAGCGTCGGTAACATTATTTGGTCATAACATAATAAATGGTCCGATTTTAACAATTTGTAGATACAAAGGTACAAATAGATAGATAGGCATTGGTAAACAAAACAAACTTCCTTTTACACTTCTACGAAATCTTTGTTAATGTGGACACACGAAAGACTTTAGCGCTATGGTCGGTTTTGAGCGTTAGAATGGGCTTGGAAATCGTTTTTAGGTTAATCGATATGTGTTGAAAAAATCAATATATTTCGGTTTAAATTGTTATTCTAGCATTAAAACTGCAAGCGCCACCGTTTTGGACGGCTTGTAGGCGTTAGAGTGGTTCGGCACAATCAAATAGCAAAGGGCTAGTGATCCTGATCAAGAATATATATAAGTTGTAGTAACTGAAAGTATTCCTTCTCAATGTTACATACTTTTCAGCGAGTACAATATTCCCTTTTACACTAGGAGTAACGGGTATACATGTCAAAAAATATCTCATGGACAGTGCAACCAGTGCCCTTCGCTATGTAGAACTTTTAATGTAGGATATGGTAACACTATTGTATTAATTACTATCATTTAGTAACTCATTCGTGAATGGTAATAGCACAGCCTGGAAAAAGCCAATCGGTAAAAACTACAAAATGTAGCCAAGATTACGAATTTGCCGAAGTGCAAAATATACACTCGTCGTGACCGTTCTTGAAATATTTGATGCAGTACTGCCATTTTGTGCTTTTTTCGGGCAGATCTGTACTGTTTAAAACTGCCTCAGCCGGAAAAAAATTCAAACATCCCCTGTCCGGAAATCTGTCCTTTTTTGCCTTTCGAACTGAATTAATTATTTTATTTTAATCGAAATCAAACAATCAGTTAATAGACTTTTGGTTATCGTTCGATTGTTCTGAATACCGATCGGTGTATGTATGGCCACTAGGGCGGTCGAAAAACGAAATTTTTATCTCACCCCTTCACATGGTTGATTTAAGTGTGCATAAATGTATTAAAAAACTAAAACTACTTAGATACTTTCCAATTATGATTCTTAAAACAGTGACAGGCACAAAAACACTTTGTGAATCGAATTGTCAATAAGAAAAATAAGAAAAAATTTCGTTTATTTATTTAGTTTACAATATTTATATTTGTAGTTGCCCCTAGAACATAAAGTAGTGACATAGGCCTTATAAACCTTGGGTTGGCTTTAATCGGCATCTTTGAGACTCACAGTGTAGCCACTAACAAAAATTTTTCAAAAATTAAAAATTATTTTGCAGGAACGTGATGAACGTCTTATAAATGTTAAATAAAATTGTAAGAGCTGCCCATGATGCTCTTACCAATCATGGCACTGTTTTAAACTTTCGAGCAATCTTGGATTGGATTGGACTTTATATATAGCGATAAACGACCAATACATATTCTCGAGTCAGAAATAAGTATCCTCAGCCAGCGAAGAAATCCATCAAGAGTTAGAATCAAACAATTTCCGAGCTCAATTTGCAAACAGGTTTAAAGATGATAATAAATATCTCGGAAACAACTTACGATTGATGAAAAACGACAGAATAATATTACTAGTAAAATGGGAAATAATTGGAGTAATAACCAGAATTATAATTCGCCAAAAAGGGGACATTTTTGGCAAAACAATAATCATAATAATAATCAAAGGCAACAAGCCGTCGAGTCAATGGATGTTGATCCATCGATTCAACTCCACAATATATCTAATTACAATCGGCAGCCGAATAATAGTTGAGGTAGATATAATAATAATTATTGTCAAAATAATATTCGTTCAAATTTCTATCGCATAAATCAAAATAGAGAGCAAACTCAAGCTCAGAAAAGGGAACCAGATGGAACAGTAAATCAGCCAGCTAATAAAGTAACCAGATTAAATAATATCAATGAAGATCATTTTTTAGGCCAGACCCCTACAGGGAAATGCCTTAGTTAAATAGGTCAGACCGAAAATCCAAGAAGCAGCTCAAGATTTTAATAGACACAGGAGCCCCTGCTTGTTATATAAAAAAGGGAATTTTCGAAAATAAAAATGAGTTATCAATACAAAAAGGTAACTACAGTTCATGGGTATTCAATTATTAGGTATTACCATATTATAAATATATTTGAAACAAGACAATTATTTTATGAAATCGAAGGATTAGAGTCTGATCTCCTAATTGGATTCAATTCATTAAGAAAAATTGGAGCTATAATAAATATAGAAAGGGGAGTCTTGGAATATAAAGGGAAAACAGAAAAGTTAAAATATTATGAAAAGGAGGAAAAAAATGAAATAAGTTTAATTAAAGAAAATAATATTCCTCCGTTAAAAAAAGTTATATTAAAAAAATATTTTGATGATGAAGATAACGAAAACACAGATTTATTATTTGTGGAAAATAGTGAGAAAAGCTTTGGAATTAAACATCCTAAGAGTGCCGACGTAGAAATATCCGTCGTTGAGTTATCCGACAAACAACAGATAAATAATATAGGTACTGATTAATTGAACGGACTAAAGGAAAACAAGGAAGAACGCTATAGTCGAGTACCTCGACTATCAGATACCCGTTACTCAGATAACAAACTTTAAAAAAAGTTAGCCGCGCACTTTGTTCTCTCTCCCTTGCTCTCATTTCTCGGCTCTGCTTTTGTTTCAACCAGCGCCAAGAATGAGAAAGCAACACATAAAATAGACAAAAAAAATTTATATTTATGTATGCTTGCTAAACATACACAATTTTAGGCACATTCTGTATTTCAAAATATTTCGTTGAATAGCTTTGTTTGAAAGAATTCTATTTGCCGCGGATATTAGATTACAATTTTTTACGTCCACACACATGCATAAATACATGTGTATGTATGTATGTCGTTTTCTGGCTCTAGTGTCAAGGCTTGTCCTAACTACTTTGGTTTGAGAGCATTAGACTGAAAACGGAAAAGTTTTTTTGGGACAATCTATAGGTATTTATTAAGCTAATTCATATTCTTTGAAAGAGATAAATAAAGAAAGGTTTTTGCCCGTCAATGGGACAAATGGATAAAGGGTTCATTATTCAATAGAATAAGTTAGCCGCGCACTTTGCTCTCTCTGAGCGCGCGGCAGCGCTTTTTTCTTTGCCGCTAAGTTCGGCCGGCAACTATTTACATACACACACATACACGCGTAAAAACATTTCGCATTGTCTGGCTCTGACGTCATAGCTTTTTTCTTTGGAGGTTTGTGGGCGTTAGAGTAGGCGTACCAACATTTTTTTGGGTCAATCGATAGGTATTGACAAGACTAGTACATTTCAGTTAAAATTTTCTATCTAGCATCAAAACTGTAGGAGTTACAGTTTTGGGCGGTTTGTGGGCGTTAGAGTGGGCGTGGCAGTCTACTGAAACAAACTGCGTAAGAAGCTCAGGAATCTGCACGCCAAATCTCAATAGCCTAGCCCTCATAGATTCCGAGATCTCAGCGTTCATCCGGACAGACGGACAGACGGACATGGCTAGATCGACTCGGCTAGTGATCCTGATCAAGAATATATATACTTTATGAGGTCGGAAACGCTTCCTTCTGCCTGTTACATACTTTCCGACGAATCTAGTATACCCTTTTACTCTACGAGTAACGGGTATAAAAATATTTTGATGATGAAAATAGCGAAAACACAGATTCATTATTTGTGGAAAATAATGAAAAAGCTTGGGAATTAAAAATCCTGGGAGTGCCGACGTAGAAATATCCGTCACAAAAATACGAACATCTTGAGAATTAAAAATCCTGAGAGTGCCGACGTAGAAATATCCGTCAATATCAATACAAATATCTGGGAATTAAAAATCCTGGGATTGCCGACGTACACAGAGAGAATTATTCAAGTAATTTGTACTCAAATTGAGTATTTTTGTACTCAAAAATTCAGCATGAACAAAAATTCTCACATTGAGTGCAAAATACTCACTTTCAGTACAAATTTCTCAAAAAATTTGTACTTAAATTGAGTACGTTTGGCTCTTTTTTGAACATTTTTCCTCAATATGAGTACAAACTGCACTCATTTCAAGAAATAATTTAGCTTGAATTTTAGAATCGAGTATCCCTTTTTCTCAAACTGAGAAATTTCTAGCGCTCAAAATGAGAAACAAGTTCTTGATAGTGAACTTATAAATTCTTAAATGAAGAACTTTTGCACTTAAACCCGCTCCACCCATTCCCAGAAAAAAGGTAAAATATTTTTTTTCATTATATTTTGTAATACAGTTATATATATACAAACATATTATTTTTTATTTAAGTTTATGTTCCATGTTATGGGTTATGATATTATTCCCTTAGCTGTCTGGTCTAGCGAAAAGCAAAGAGGCTGAAAAGAAAACGTTATTGTTAGCAAATATTGTAAATATATATGCATATATAAATATGAAACAATAAAATTAGAATGTTATTAAATGTACATTTAAAATGCATGTATGTATGTATGTACATTATACATAAAAAACTAACAAAACTAGACACGTGCTTCACGCCACTTACAATCACACATACATAAATATTGATGTACACGCTTTGGCAATATTTTTGCAGTGTTTGTTTATTGTATCATTATTAAGCACATTATAAATACAGTTAAAATTAAAGAACTTACCCTCGAGGTACGGAAGGGTGGCACGAATGCCCAGTTCACTACAAAAGTTTTTTAACTTTGTGTTACGCGCACGTCTTCACTTTGCTAAATCACACGGCAAATGACAGTCACACAAATGAGGCGCGTACCACTTTACACACCCATTAGTGAGAAAGAGACAACCATATACGCAACGAACTAAAGGCCGCTCATCTCTCGTCTCGTTCGCAGAACGGAATTCTCTAGAACCAATTATGAGAATTATCAACTCATTTTTGAGTCTATCGAATACTCATAATGAGAATATTAATTCTCAAGTTTGAAATTGAAGAACACATTTCCTCAAACTTAGAATTTTGTGATCAATTCAAGTTATTTTTCTTAAAATGAGTGCAACTTTCCTCAACATGAGCTTTTTCCACAAATTTTGTACTTAAATTGAGTACATCCTCAAAATGAGAATACAAATTCTCAATTTCAGAACGTCATAATTTTCTCTGTGTAGAAATATCCGCCAACAAAAATACAAACATCTTGAGAACTAACAAGGAAGAACGCTATAGTCGAGTACCTCGACTATCAGATACCCGTTACTCAGCTAAATGGAGATATGCAAGCAGCAAAGCGAGATTAAAATGCGCCACCTACCGGCGGTATACAGATTTAAGCGTTATGGGCGTTAGAGTAAGCGTGGCAAATTTTTTTTTGGACCAATCGATAGATATCGACGAGATTAATACATTCCAGTTAAAATTTTTTATCTAGCATGAAAATTGTGGGCGTCACAGGTTTTTGCGGTTTGTCGGCGTTAAAGTACGCGTGGCAACCTTTTTTTGGGTCAATCGATAGGTATTGATGAGAACAATACATTTCAGTTAAAATTTTTATTCTTGCATCAAAACTGTAGGAGCCACAGTTTTGGGCGGTTTGTGGGCGTTGGAGTGGGCGTGGCACATTGCTGAAACAAACTTGCGCTGCGTAAGAAGCTCAGGAATCTGCACGCCAAATCTCAATAGCCTAGCTCCCATAGTTTCCGAGATCTCAGCGTTCATCCGGACGGACAGACAGACGGACAGGCGGACAGACGGACATGGCTAGATCGACTCGGCTAGTGATCCTGATCAAGAATATATATACTTTGTGGGGTCGGAAACGCTTCCTTCTGCCTGTTACATACTTTCCGACGAATCTAGTATACCCTTTTACTCTACGAGTAAGGGGTATAAAAATCCTGAGAATGCCGAAATATCCGTCAATAAAAATACAAATATCTTGGGAATTAAAAATCCTGAGAGTGCCGACGAAGTAAATACCGTCAAAAAACGAATAAATAAAAATCGCTTAAAAAATAAAAATTTCAAGCATGCCGTCGTTGAGTTATCCGTCAAACAACAAATAAACAAAATAGGTACTCATCAATTAGACGGATTAAAGGAAAAAATAGTTCACTATATTGAAAAAGAGCATTCAAAGATAAATACGCAAATTCCTTTTAGAACAGACATAAAGGGGGAAATAAATCTTATTCACGACAGGCCAATATACGGGAAACAATATCCGTACGCTTTTTCTGTCACCGACTTCGTGAACAGCGAAATCAGTAGAATGTTAGCAGAGGAAATTATAAGGCCTAGTCGAAGCCCTCATAATTCACCAGTTCTGGTAGTACCAAAGAAAGGAGAAAATCATGACGGAAGCCGTAAATTAAGACTCGTCATTGACAATAAAAAATTAAATGAAAATACCATACCTGACAGGTACCCAATGCAAGACCCATCAGTAATTCTATCTAATTTGGGAAAAGCAAGATATTTTTCAACAATAGATTTAGAATCATGTTTTCATCAGATATTAATGAAAGAATCTGATGTAGAAAAAACATTCTTTTCAATAAATAATGGAAAATACGAATTTTTGAGAATGCCATTCGGACTAACAAATGCACCAAGAATTTTTTAGAGAGCAATGGACGACATCCTAAGAGAACAAATAGGGAAAACTCAAACTCGATTGAACAACATTATAAAGACTTATACAAAATTATAAATATATTATTAAAGGCAAACATGAAAATCTCTTTAGAAAAATCAAAGTTTTTTAAACGCGAAACCAGTTTTCTAGGATACATCGTATTTTAACGTCATCAAGACAGACCCAGAAAAAATTGACACCATAATTAAATATCCGCTTCCAAAAAATATTCGGGAACTAAGAAGTTTCTTAGGCCTTACGGGCTATTATAGAAAATTTTTTTAAATTACGCCTCTATAGCCAAACCTCTAACAAAATATCTTGGAGGTCATAATGGTAAAATTTCAAAAAGAATGTCAACAAAAATGTTAATTCAGCTGGATGACCCAGCTATTAAAGCTTTTAACGAGCTGAAAGAAAATCTCATTGCTCAAGTAGAATTAGTTCAACCGGATTATAATAAACAATTTACCTTGACCACCGACGCTTCGGACGTCGAATTGGTGCTATTATCTCAAGAAGTAAACCAATTACTTTTATTTCAAAATCCTTGACTAAACGGAAGAAGTTTATGCAACTAATAAGAAGGAACTTTTAGCCATAGTATGGGCTCTTAAAAATCTAGAAACTACTTATACTCAGTAATTGGAAGTGAAATTCAAACCGATGATCAACTATTATCCTTTGCAATCTCTTAAAAGTACTAATATCGAAATGAAACGCTGGTACTCCTTCATAGAACGTTTCACTCCAAAAGTCATATATAAGCCAGGTACAACTAATGTAGTTGCAGACGCCTTATCAAGGATTCAGATCAACAACTTAACTGACATTAACGAATCGGTCTCAGATAAAAACACTCAGAATTCAGCAGAGATTAGTTTTGAGAATGTTATACAAGAAACCCGTAAACCCTTAAACCAGTTTAAGCAACAATTGCTATTAGCCACGGGGAGGTATACAATACATGAGTCGATTAATATATTCGAGAATACCAGACATATAATAAATTTGACACTCCCGAAAATTTGATATCAATCTTAAGGGCATATAATCCTCCCAATTTAACGGTAGGCGTTCATAGTACTTTAGAGGACTTTTATAGACTTCAAAAGCCACTTAAGATATTGTGAATAAGTTTTTGTATACAAGAATATTTGTCCAAGATGTGAAAAATTCTGAAGACAGTGCACTTATAATCGAAGAAACACATTGCAGAGCACACAGGGGACTTGACGAAAATTAAAAACAATTTAGTAGATTGTATTATTGGCCAAACTTACTTACAAAATTATATATAAAAATTGTAAAATTTAATGAAAACAAATATAACAGACACCCAATTAAAATTCCAATTAGAAAAGACCCAATCCCGTGTAAAGAAGGCGAAAATTTACACATCGACACATATTACGCGCAGTCTTACTTTTATAACTTGTATTGACGCTTACTCAAAATTTTTAGTAGTAAAATAAATCTGAAATATAAATAAATAAAACAAAGTAATGAACTTCTTCAAATTTCCACAAGCCAAAGTAATAATGACCGATAATGAACCAACTTAAATCTTTTGCACAAAGGTGGTTTAACTTTACATTACGCAGACCCGAGGCACAGTTCCTCAAACGGACAACTTGAAAGGGCACATTCTACATTAACAGAATTAGATCGATGCATTAAAAAGAATTTAATTTAACCGACTTCCGAAATAGTAATATGAGCCGCTCAAGAATATAATCAGAGCATTCATTCTACAACGAACCAAAAACCGTTTGACGTACTATATAATAAAATAGAGCACGATAACATTCCTTAAATTTTAAAAATACACAAGAGAAATGTAGAAACACATAGTGAAAACAGAAAAGAAAAAGTATATCATGTAGGACAGGTAGTTTATGAAAAGAACACGGGGAAAGAAATAAACTTAAAACTAGATATAAAAAACAAGTAGTTAAAAAAATTTACCTAACAAAATAATAATCAACAACAGAAATACAATTATTCACAAAGATAATATAAAATTCGAAAATTTATATGTTACTTTTTTTATCTTTTCCAGAAAATGTTTTATAGGTGCTCATACTACACCTTATTTTATTAACAAAATCAGAAATAATTGACTATACAAGTCACGAGTTTCTTTATTCAAGGACAATAAAGACGTATTGACGTACGATTCATACGCAGAATTATTCACGTAACTAACTTAAGTTTTATAAAGAAATAATAAAATTGGAATCAGATAATATAAAAAGGGATACTAATAAAAGGTCACAATGGGAAATTAAATATGACCTAGAAGTAATCGAATTAATTTGATCACAATTAATATCAACTAAATCAAAAAGGGGGATAAATGAGATTAGCACTGTGTGGAAATGGTTAGCTGGAACTCCGGATCATGATGATTTTATTAAAATTCAGAATAAAATCAATGAATTAATTTAAAATAATAATAAGCAATCTATTATCAATTCCAAATTGTTCAAAGAAATAAATCTCTTTCTGATGATTTAAAAATGTTTTTATGATCAGATTACCACTGCGAAAACATCGCTTACGATTATTAACATTTCATCTGCAAAATTCAATTGACAGAATCACACTAGCAAAAATTGACGTTTTTACACAAAATATTAAACAATGATGACATCATGGAAATATTTAAACATGAACAAAAACCAGTAATTATCGCTGACTTAATGGACATCTCTTATTTTAAAATCGCGCTGCATAAAGAACTTGTAATAATTTATATAAAATACCCAATAATAAAAAACAGATGCGAAATATATCACGCTAGAGCGGTTTCCCAAATCGATGGGAAACTGGTATTAAGTCGCAAAATGCGCAAATACGTTTTATGAAATGTATAACATGAAGAACGAACTTTTTAATAACTATTGCACTTTAATTAAGGAAAAAACTTGTTTTACCCGCTTATTAAGTGGTGAGAAATCTACTTGTAAACAAGGAAGAACGCTATAGTCGAGTACCTCGACTATCAGATACCCGTTAGTCAGCTAAAGGAACCAAAGGGAAATGAAGATATGCAAGCAGCAAAGCGAGATTAAAATGCGCCATCTACCCGCGGTAGACAGATTTAAGCGTTATGGGCGATAGAGTGGGCGTGGCAAATTTTTTTGGAGCAA